AATAACATAATCAGATTTTTTCTCATTGTCCTTCTTGTTACTTTTTAGTCCATATACACAACTTTCCAGAAATGTACACATTTTTTCCTAATTTTTCAGTAAACTCAACCTCCTCAGCTGACTACAAAGCAACGTTTCTACTAACTTAGACCCCTATCCAGCAAACCTCTTACACACATGTATAATTTTAAATATGTGGGTAATCCCATTAACTTCAAAGTTATGGTCATGTTCAATCGTTTTGCTGGAGGGAAGCCAAAAGACAAAGAAATGTTTGTATTATGTTGCCTTATTTTACCACTTAATTCAGTATTTCAATCAAGAGAACAACTCTGAAGGAACTATGGCTAAAATTTATAGACACATACGTACATAACTTGTTCCATTCAGTCAGATCAGGAATAAATCCTGCTGTAGAATTGAAAGGACAACACATTTTATTGACATATTATTGGGGGCGTGGATATATGTGTGTGGGGGAAAGCTAGGCAGGGCAGAACAGATTTTCGGCTGTGCCCTGTAGATAACAGAAACTCGCTGCAATTTACAGTTAATGGCCCATATCTTCAAAGTAATTTAGGCTCCTAACTCCTATTGAAATCAATGGAAGCTAGAAGCCTAAATTCCTTTGAGGATCTGGGCCAATGTGATTAGGTTAATGAACATAGAACTTCAAGATTATAGCCTGCACCAGAAAAGGGTAGGCTAGAGCAAATGGATCGGCACCCATTAGCATTTTTAAATAAGTAAATACCTTCTATAACTCCAATGACTTCTGGACTGGTGATGAATCTGGCCTAGCACATGTGCATACATGATTTGGCCAAAACATCCATTGACATTACCATTCCTCTTTCAAAACTACATACATAACTTTGCAGTTTCGTAACAAAATAGTTTGTGAATTATTTAAGTGCAAGATAATCATGTGATGTTATAATTAAAGCGCATCACTGATGTCTGTCACAGTTCAGGGCAACTGAACCGTATTACCATCGGTGGTCCAGCCAGATTAAATTTAGATTTAGTTGGGGATTGGTCCTGCTTTGAGCAGGGAGTTGGACTAGATGACCTAGTGAGGTCCCTTCCAACCCTGATATTCTATGATTGTATAAGAGCATCTACTTTTAGGGTCCTGGTTCCCCAGCCATCATCTCTCTCAGGCGGAGACACACATCTCATTCCCTTCTGACTGGAGTATTTTGAGGCTGCATGGTTCCCTGCCTCCACTGTGAATTTCCCAGCGAGTCAGACTGCCTAAGTATGCCTGTTTTGCTTTTCTCTTCAGATGCTACGAACAGCATAATTGCCCACAGTTATAAGGCATCACACAGCGTTTCCTAAGCAAGCACATTTATTCTCAAGGTGAAAGCATAGTAGAGAAAGTCCTTTCTCTAGAGAATCCAGTTTGAATCCCTATATGCAAACCTTTCCAGGTGGTTGTACCTCTCGGGAGATGTTACAAACCGAGCGAATTTGCTGCCACTATTTTTAGTTCCTGGAGGGCTCTGGTCCATCTTCCCCATGTAAATACATACAATGATTTTGGTAAATTTCATAGTCGAATGTAATGTTATTTTGGAACTGCAGGAACACGAGGGAAAAGGCATTTTCCACTGAGCAACGGATCACATATTTATTCTGCACTCGAGTAATTTAAAATCTATTTTGTTGCATAAGTGCAAGCTTGGTTTGTATGCAGTCCTAAATGGGACACTGTTTTAGCCATATTTGAAGCAATCTGGTTTTGAACTATATTAATAAAGTTACAGTGTTTAAAAGGAGGTATAGTGAGCTTCGACAGTGCATTTGTTTCCTTACTTCAGGGTCTAAGGCTGTGAATACCTGCAGCGGTAAATATGTGAAAGACTACGCATACATGTATTTGGGAAGGTTAGAGTTGAAGGGATCTTCATCAGGTTTCCACAGTAAACTTGTCTCTGTTCCTTTATATGTAAGACTTATAATATGGGCTTTCATTCCCTAGTACAAATTGCTATGTAAAATCACTTGCACAGAAAAAGTGAAGTTTAAATAGAAATCAGCAGCAGTAATAACTTGCCTTACTGTCCATAATAAAATCCTAATTCCCTCCCCCTTACAGTTTTTGTAGGAATATCACTATTTATTTATCCAGTCTTGTCAGAGTAGCAGTGTTAAAATGCAGTAAAATGCTGCATGCAATATGTGCATATACTACTATAGGTGGGAAGTGTTGTTTCTTATTGTATACAAGGTTTGATAGACTGATTAAGATTTTATAAGGAAAAACATTTAAAATAATCAGCTATAAAATGTCAATTTGGCCTCCTCTTTATATTTGTTTATTCTTCTGTAATAATCTATTTGTTACAGTATGTGCTGCTACTGAAGTAAGACCAATAGACAGTCTAAAATATTATTTATATTACTATTTATTATTTCTGCAGGACAAAATTGTGTTCTAGCTTCTTTACTGAACAAATAACAATATATAGCTTCTGATAACTGAATTGTAAATTGGCAAAGAAGGGTGTAATTTGTTATAAAAGTAATTTTATACTTAACATATATATAGTACCTTTTACCTGAAGATTTCAATGTGTTTTACAAACATTAATGAACACTCTTGATGACATACCTCTGAGGTAAGGAATTATTAATCTTCCTATTTTACAGACAGGGAAACTGACACACAGTGAGGTTAAGTGGCTTGCTGAATGTCACACTGCAAATCAGAAGCAGAACTAGAATAGAACCCAAGCATCCTGACTACCATTTCCCTTTCCCCTGCTCTAATCACCTAGGCCCCAATCTTTCAAGGAGCTCTGTGTTGGAAGATCCCTGCTCCCATTTGGAACGTCAATGGCATTGCAAGGGTCTGGCTGTGTAAAGCTCCTTGTAGGATTAGGGCCTGAGATCAGACTTTGCAAGTCTTGTTAAATTCAGTAAATCTTCTACAATAAAAGAGAGGAGCTAATCCCTTAAATCCAAAATTTATGCTGAAAAGCCTAACACCCTGTGAATGTTAGCAGCAACAGACAATTTATTATTATTATGTATGCAGTGCCTAAAATGTCTGAGGCACTTTACAAACAACTAGAAGACACCGTCTCTGCCATAGAGAGCTACCTAGATACATTAGAGAGATATATAGATTCATAGATTCCAAGACGGGAAGGGACCATTGTGATCTAGTCTGACCTCCTGTATAACACAGGCCATAGCATCTCCCCAAAAATATATTAGCTAATAGATTAGCTAGTTAGAGAATAGATTGCTTAGATTGTTCTGACATGTAATAGCTAAGAGATTAGCTAGATTGATCAAATGTGGTAGCTAATAGATAGCTAGATGGATCTGACACATAACAGATTAGAGATGTGATGGCTAATAGATTGGCTAGATTGATAACAGATTAGATTGAACAGACATGTGATAGCTAATCGATTGGCTAGGTGGCATAGGTAGCTATAGACAGAGCAGGCAAGCAGGCATCAGACACTATATGAGATGACAGACTAGTCGGCCTAAGGACGATCCAGGCTTCCGTGTCCAGTCCCATGGCTGTGTCAGTAGCAGCTGTTGCTGCCCGGCCGCCCCCAGCTCCCCGGGCCACTTACCGAGGAGCCAGCCCAGAAGGGGCAGGAGTTCTTCACCTGCGGGGAGCCGCTGAGGGACAGCGCCCCGAAGCTCAGCGCCACCATGCAGCAGCCCAGGATGAGCTGCAGCAGCCCCAGGGACAGCAGCGGTCTGGCCGGCAGCAGCCCGTGGGCCCCGGCGGCGGCGGCCCGGCGGGCGGACAGAGGGGAGAGCGCCGCCGGGGGAGGCCGATAGTGCTGGAAGCGCCGGAGAGGCGGCAGCGGCGGGGCCGGAGAGGTGGCGGGGCCGGGAGCCGCTGCCTGAAGCGCAGCGGAGAGCCCGGCCATGGGGCAGCAGGAGCCCGGCAGCACCACAGGCAGCGACATGGGAGGGGGTCGCGGCCGCTCCGCTCCGAGGGCAGGAGCGGAGTGTG